GTAGGCAAATGGATAAAGAAATGGGTCCATCCAGACGGTGGTATATCATTCAGCCTTAAAAAAAATGACCTACCAAGCCATGAAAAGGCAGAGAGGAACATCAAGTGCAGTTAGTAAGCCAAAGAAGCCAATCTGAAAAGGCTCTGTATTATAGATCCCAACCTTCTAAAAATGGCAAAATTGTGGAGACAGTGCCAAGGTTATTGATTGCCAGGGGTTACGGGAAAGGGAGGGATGATTGGCAGAGCACAGAGGATATTTTAGACAGTGAACTACCCTATATATAATGCTATAATGGTGGATACATGTCATTACATTACGTATTTATCTTAGTCCATAGAACATATTACACCGAGAGCCCCTCCCAGTGTAAACTGTGAACTCCAAGTGATAGTGACGTACCCGTGTGAGCTCATAGTTGTTAACAGAGGCTCAACTTTGGAGTCGGGGGTGTTGGTGACAGAGGAGGCTGTGCGTGTATCAGGGCAGGGAGAATATGGAAAATCTATACTTTGTGCTCAGTTTTACTGTTATCTGCTCTAAAAAGTAAATTCAATTTTAAAAATGCAGAAAGGGAAGAAACCAAAATGCTAAATGTCATATTAAAAAAAGTCCCCACCCCATCTATTGATTTAGTAATGGTCTTTCACAACCCCACCCAGTTCCCCAGCTCCTCAGGTGGTCCCAGGAAGCAGAGGCCTTGCAAACACAAACCTTTTCTTCTGGGGCCCCTCTGTGCCCTGAACTCCCAGAGCCGTCTCTCTGTGGGGAGAAGGTGGGCTACCTTCATCTCAAAGCTGCACCCAAGAAGGGGCTCTGCTCCTGCTGGCGAGCTGGCCTGTGGATTTGTTGGTGCCCCAGAATCTGAGGACACTGAGTTTGAGGATGAGCAGAGTGTGTTTGGCCTTCCTTCCTCTTAACTCTCTTAGCCCTTATAAGTGTTAAGGGGGACTGGAAAGGTCACGGATGAAGAGTGAGCCTGACCTTGGGCTTTCTGCTTCATCTTTGAACTTCGCTTTCTTCATCTGCAAAGTGATGATTTATCCACGCACAGTTCAATGAAGAAGCTGAGTTGTCTAGCACAGTGTTTGGCATGTAGGATGTTTAATAAATGCACACTCCACAGATGAAAGGATGGGGACTGGGTTAACCCCTAGCCCAAAGCAACTCCAAGTAGAAAGAACAAATAAAATTCAGGCACAAGGATAAAATAGAGTGTCAAGACACAGCATCAGGGAAGGAAGGACAGGAACTCCCCAGAGCTGAGGCCCTGCTGTCACCTTGAGGGGACTTCCAGGCTTTGGCACTAGGAGAGGGGAGGCAGTGCTGGCAGATCCCCCTGGTAGAAATGGAGCTGAGAGTCTAGGAAGACTAAGGTGGAGTTTGTAGGAGTTTGTAGCAATAGCCATTAAAGCACTTATATCCAGAATATATAAGGAATGCTCATAGCTCAACAACAAGAACAAAAGGCGCAAAGGATTTTTTTTTTTTTGGTGTGTGTGTGTGTGTTTGTGTGTGTGTGTTTGGTACTGGGGATCAAACCCAGTGGTGCTTTTCCCCTGAGCTGCATCTCAAGCCCTTTTTATTTTATAAGTAGCCTGGGCTGGCTTCAATTTGTGATCCTCCCGCCTCAGCCTCCCAAGTTGCTGGGGTTACAGGTGTGCGCCACTATGCTTGGCAAAAGATTTGAATGGATACTTCACTAAAGATATAGGAGGGCAAGGCTGAGGCAGGAGGAGAACAAGTTCAAGGCCAGCTTCAGCATTTGGTGAGACCCTATGTGGAAAAGGGCTGTGGTTATGGCTCAGTAGTAGAGGACCTCTGGTTCAATCCCCAGTACTACACACAGGCATGTGCATACACACAGAGAATAGGAAGACGATGGCAAATAAGCACTTGAAGATGCTCATGCACAACAGTTACTAGAGAAATGCCAATTAAAACCTCACTGAGAACCCACTATGTACCTATTATAATAGATAAAAACTGTCTACACCAGGAGTTGGAAGGATGTGGAGAAATTGCAACGCTAATAAACTGCCAGTGGGAATGTAAAATGGTTGAAACTTTTCAGAAAACAGTTGGGTAGTTTCTTAGGAAGTTAGCTATATACCAGCCATAAGACCCGGCCATTCTTAGCTCTAGAGAAAAGGAAATAATCTGTCTGCTTTAATCAGCTTTTTTACTGCTGTGACTAAAAGACCTGACTAGCACAATAGTAGAGAAGGAAAGTTTATGTGAGGGCTCATGGTTTCAGACGTGTTAGTCCATAGAAGGCTGGCTCTATTCTTCTGGGCTCGAGGGAAGGCAGGACATCATGGTGGAAGAGTGTGGCAGAGGGAAGCAGCTCACATGACGAACAGGAATCAGAAAGACACCACTTGCCAGATACAAATATATTCCCCAAAGCCACGCCTCTAATGCCCACCTCCTCCAGCCACACCCTACCAGCCTTCGGTTACCTCTCAGTTATCCTAATCAGGAGATTAATTCACTGATTGGGTTAAGATTCTCACAACCCAATTATTCTTCCTCTGAACTTTCTTCCATTGTCTCACATGTGAGCTTTTGGGGGACACCTCACATCCAAACCATAACAATGTCCATGCAAACATTTGAATGCAGATATTGATAGCGGCTTTATTTGTAATAGCCCCAAACTAGAAGCATCTTGTGTGCGCATCAACATGTGAATGGATCAACGAAATGTGCTGTGTCCTCATAATTCAATACTGTGTGGCAATAAGGAGGAATAAACTACTGATACACAAAAGAACTTGGATATATCTCAAAATAATTATGCCAAGCGAAAGAAACCAGATGAAGAGGAGTACATGTTCCAGATTCCACTTACAGGAACTCTCGACAACACAAAGTAATCTGTGATGACAGAGGGGAGCCGCGGTTGCCCGGGGACAGGAGAGGAAGGAGCTTGGGCTTGCAAAAGGCCCACAGAGCTGTGGACTCGGTGCTGGGTGTGTTTACTATCCTCATTGTAGGGTGGTGATTTCACAGGTGCATGCAAATGTCAAAACTTATCAGATCTCATCCTTTAAATGTGTGCAGTGTATTGTGTGACACTTAAGCCTCATTAAAGCTGTTTTTTAAAAGAGATCACTCTAGCTGTAGTTTAGAGAATGGATTCTAGGGCAGAAAGTCAAATTGCAGGGGAAAATGTCCTCTTCCTCACTCCTCTTGATGGGGTGTTTTTTTTTTTTTTTTTTTCTTTTTTTGGTGGTTCCAGGGATCAAACCCAGTGGAGCTACCTCCACCCCACCCAGCCTTTCTTTTTATTGTTTTTTTGAGACCAAGTCTCACTAAGTTGCCTAGTTGGGGCTTGAACTTGAGATCCTCCAGCCCCAACCTCCAAACTGCTGGGGTTACAGATGTGCACCACCCCGGCTTCCCCCTAAAAGTTCATTCCCTTATTCCCCTCACTTTCCTCCTGGCTTTTGAGTCTGGATTATTCCAGTAATAGGTGATGGTGCTTTCTTACTCCCCTCTGCTGAGCATGACTATAAATCCGATAGCCTAAAGGCCCTGGGAAAGCAGAGGGAAGCTAGTGGCTTGCTTTTTTTCTTCTTGTGGAACCCCAGCCTTTTCTCAGCCTGGGCCACTTAGGCTCAGTGCAGGATTCAGGTGAGGATGGGCAACCCACCTGTCAGCCACGGCAGAGGCCAGTTTCCCCAAATCGAGCTCAAGTGCAGTCTCATCCTATTGATAGTGTTTGCAGAGAGCCGGGCCACAAGAGATGGAGGAGTGTTTGTGGGTGGATTGATGCTGTCCCAACTGGAGGGGCAGTTGGAAGGCACTCAGTGTCCTTGGCAGGAGGGCAGAAGGGACTGTGAGCCACGCATCCTCATGGGAGAGGCCTTACTGTTGAGGTCCTAGGCACACGGCGTGTGGGGGGAAGCAAGGCAGAATGGAGGGCAGGCCAGGTGGCAGGAGGAGATCCAGGGCAGGGGGGCCTTGGGTTTGAGCCCCCGAACACGCTGTGTGTTAGAGGGTGGAGGAAGGTGCTCCCTCATTATGTGAGGGGCCCTGTGTGTGTGACATGAATTGAAAACTCAGAGATTAAAAACTCCCAGTCCAGGCTCTAGCCCTCAGTCAGTACCTTCTTTCCTAGAATGTGACACTTGCATTTCTTGTTTTTTTTTCCTCTTTTCTATCTACAAAGGATTTTTCCATCCATTACCACACGCAACATACATGAAATATTTTCCTACTGACGTGACTTTGTCTGGGATTGTCCTCACTCTGTGACCGACGGTTTGGACACAAGTGGCTTCCTTCCTTGCTTTGTATCTGTGCTCAGTGGTTAGAGTGGTGCGAAAGGATGCCAGCAGCCCCAGGGATGAAGCTCCAGCACAGAGAACCGGAGGGAGCAGGTCCCGGGCCTCAGAGAAAGGGGAACTGGAAGAGAGCGTTGGTGGACAGGGTACCGAGAGAGGAGGAAGTGATAAAGTAGCAGGAAGTCTTGGGAGGTTGTCACAATATCCACTTGAAGGTGCTATTCATTATGCTGTTTGCTTTATGAGCAACGGGGGAGAGGGTGTTGGGTTAAACCCTGACAAGCCGAGTTCCCTTCTGTCTGGGCCCGCAGGGTTACACTGACTCCTGAGGTGGATCTCGCATCTCCTTCTCTGCAGGCAGTCTCGGGCTGCTCCTGATCATCCTGTGGAGGGGTGGAAAGGGGCAGTTATATAAATATGGGAACCTTTGAAAGTTCTGGGCAGGGTTGTGGGTTGACCCGGCGAGGTGTTCTGAACATGAACATGACAGTGTGGAGGACAGTGTGAGGCCTGAAGTCCAGCCTGGAGGTGGTTTTCTGCAGTTGAAAGGACTGACCTTCAGAAGGGCGAGAGGGTGATGGAAATACATTTCTAGTGACTGGCTGATTGCTGGGGGAGGGGTGGCATCTCGCTTTACTCATTGGCTGTTTTATGACTTGGTTTTCGCCTGTTCCCTTTCTGACTCACTGGTGTGTTCTTGCCTTGCAGGAGCCTGTGTGAAATGCAGCAAAGGAGTATTTGGGGCTGGCCAGGCCTGCCAGGCTATGGGGAACCTCTACCATGACGCCTGCTTCACCTGTGCGGCTTGCAGTAAGTGTGGGTTGTGTGGTGGAAGAAGAAGATTGAGAAGACCGAGGAGGGGGGGGAGAGGGAAGAGCATGGGCCTCATGCATGCTATGCAAGCACTCCACTACTGAGCCACATCTCTAGCCAAAAGTGTCCTTTAAGCTAGATTCTTACCACCAGCACGAGGGTGTTCAGCATAAGGTGATGCATCAGAATGTACTCAAGGTCGCCTGTGACTTTGGCGACAAGTTGCATGGATCCCTGACAACGGGGAGAGGCCTCAGAAGAATGAAGGGAGGGGAATATTGGGGTTCCCCAAGTCTACCCTGTTGTCAGTTATCTCCCCCGCTGTATGGACCACTCAACTAGAAGGTTGTTCATCCGTCACTTAACTCTATGTGAGGCAGGCCACTTTATAACTCTTTGACTCCTATCGTTGACTTAGAAGCTGCTGTAGGAATGTGAGGTGTGTGTATGTGTTTGTGTTTATGTCATTGTGTGAGTGCATGCATGCCTGTGTACTGGATGCTTGTTAGCACTGTCACTAGGGAACTGCTGGTGGTGGTGCACATGGCTCGTTCAGAGCAGTGCAGACTATGTGTAGTGGTGGTGCAGTTGATCATGGTTGCCTTGTGGAGCTTGACCAGGTGTCTTTTTGCATACTTCAGGGCGTGCATTAAGATTACAGTGGGAAATCAGGAGATGGATCCTTTGGGTCCTTTAATGGCAGCTGCCCCAGTGAAAGAGTCCATCATGCAGGATGGGTGCCAAGTCTGACCAAAGCATGAATTGTGCTTATTTTCTGATTTCTACCAAAGATTAATTTTTGAGGAACATTTTTGGAAAATGTCCCACTGCTGTTTTCCAGTTCTATACCGAGATTATCAGCTCTCGGTGAAAAGGAATCATTACACAGAATGTCAAGGATGAAGGGGTCTTTGTTACTGTCTGGCTGGTGAAGCTCCATCGTGGCAGCTCATTAGAATTACCTGGGAGATTTAAAAACCAGTGAGCTCCACCGGGATCAGCAGAATCAGAAGGGGTGGAACTCCTAGAGGGGGGCCAAGGATATTTTTTCAAAGCTCCTCAGGTGCCTCCCGTGGGTGGTTTGGACTGAGTGCACTGATTTAGTGTCTGGCACCTCATTTCCAAACCTCCTGGCAAGGGAAGGGAGACACCTGCTTGTGGCTGGTTTGTGGCATGACCCGATTCCCAGGGCAGAGCTGCCCAGTGTATGGACCTGACTCCCGACCTGCTGAGCCCTGAAGGTCCAGGCAGAAGCTTGAGTTCTCTCCTTGCACTTGAGTCCTCACTCCAGTTCCCCCAGAACACATGCCTTAAAGTTCAGTTCATGCGTGGGTCATTGTTCACTTTGTAGGGAAAAGCTGGAAGAGATTTTGACCTGGAAATCTGTGTGTCCTCAGTGGAAACACCCAGGAGTTGTGTGATCTTCGATTGTCTTGGTCTTTGAGCTCCCTGACACTGTCACCAGGGGACTGCTGGTGGTGATGCACACGGCTCGTTCACAGCAGTGCAGACTGTGTGTGGTGGTGATGCAGTTGATCATGGTTGCTTTGTGGAGCTTGACCAGTTTTACATCTAATAGGCCAATTGATTTCTGCCTTCCGATGGCCTGTACATGTGGCTCTTGGCATTCTCCCAGTTGGCCATGTGAGTTGACATGAGTTCAATAAAAATCTTTGACTTGTGTTTGTGATTTATCTAAATGGGAGTTGCAATCAGACATAGTCCTTTAAAAATTATCTCTGAAAAAAAAAATTATCTCTGGCCAGGTGCTGTGGTGCATGCCTGTAATCCCAGCAGCTCAGGAGGTGAGACAGAAGGATTGCAGGTTCAAGGCCAGCCTCAGCAAATTAGCAAGGCTGTAAGCAACTTAGCAAGACCCTGTCTCAAAAAGGGCTGAGGATGTGACTTGGTGGTTAAGCGCCTCTGGGTTTAATCCCCTGTATCTTCCCCCCACATTATCTTTGACCTTTGATTTCCACAGATATTTATCAATATTTGCTCTGTTTACCAAAAGAAAGCAAATAAATATGAATCAGAGATTGTTTTTCACCTTAAGCAGTTACTATTTGAACTAGGGAAGCCTTTGGGGAGAAAAGCCTATGGATGAGTGTCTCAGTGTTCTGGGCTGCTGTAACGTCAGTCACAGCACCTTGGACTGTGACTTACAAACAGACATTGATTTATCATGGTAATAGAGGCAGGGAAGTCCATTATTGAGGTGCCAGCTGAGTTGGTGTCTGGGAAGGATGTCTCTTTCTGGTTCCTAGATGGTCATCTCTGGGTGCTTATAAAAGGGGGACTGAGCTTTCTGGGGCCTCTCAGAAGGGCACAAGATCCATTCATGAGGGCTTCACCTCCCAAAGGCCCTACCTCCGTACCCACTGTGTTGGAGGTTGGGCTTTCAACCAAGAGATTTTAAGGGGACACCATTGTAGGTGAATCAGCTGGTTCCACCTGCGGCTGCTGGAATAGCGCTCTATTCCTTCATAGAATAGGTTGACATTGTTTCCAGTTGTGGCCAGCGCAGACACTTAATGACAGAGCTGATGTGGGTTTTCTTGATATGTTGGTAGTCTAGTCCCTGTCCCCTCACTTCCTGCTTCCTATCACAGTCAAACTGGATTTCTCTTTCCCACTTCCACACCTGTGGCCACATTGTTCCCTGCAGTCTCTTCTTCTCACTCATTTTGTGCATTTAAAATCTGTCCAGCCTGAAGACCCCACTCAGGTACCTCCTCTTGCAGGAAGGAACCTTGGCTTCTGAATCTGGCACATTTTCCTTGCTTGTTCGTGACGTCATGCTCTGGTGCCAGCACACCAGCCCTAGAACAGAGCTGTTGAAGGAGCTGTGCTTGTGTGCAAGCTCAGGGTGCTGTGTGCCATGGGGCAGACACTCCTTCTGTCACCCGCGTCTCTCCATTGTGCGGAGCAGTTGGCACATTGGAGAGCCAGGCATGTGTCGAAGCAGCTTCTTTTGGGCACTAGAAGTCATTTGTCTTTGTTCAGTTGACTTATTGCTGCCCTTTAACTTGGCTTTCAGCAGGGGGAGGAGGCGCCCGGTGCTGTGTTCCAGCTCTGCAGGTCCTCGAGTGTGTCTCAGTGAGCTTCAGCACCATGGAGACAGCACACTGAGGGGCCAGGGAGGGTCCAGTTTACCCCTTTCTTAGAAGAGAAAATGGGGGCAGAGAGTGGAGAGACGTTTTCAAAGAGCCAGGAATGGTGGTGCATGCCTGTAATCCCAGCCACTCGTGAAGTTCAAGGCCCAGCCTCACAAGTTCAAGGCCAGCCTCAGCAATTTAGCAAGATCCTGTCTCAAAAATGACCCGAGGTGTGGCTCAGGGGTAAAGCACTCCTGGGTTCAATTCTCAGTTCAAAGAAAAAAAGAGAGATGTTTTCAAGGTCCCAAACCTGGCAGCTGAACTAGCACCAGCAACCAGGGCTCCTGCCTCTAGGTTTGACTTATATGTTCCCATTTCTCTGAGCCATGCAAAATAAGATGTTTTCTTTGTTCTTTTTCATGTTCTGATAATAGAGCCTGATTAGTGTATTTCAGAATATACGTGTATGTGCTTTTTTGGTTTGTTTTTTTGGGTGCTGGGGATCAAACCCAGGGCCTTGTGCATACTGGGCAACTGCTCTGCCACTGAGCTACATCCCTAGCCCCCTATACATATTCTATTTTTCCATTTTGTTTCTCATTTTAAACTAGAGAATAATCTAGCTTAAAACCTCATATAGGTCTGGAGGTGTAGCTTAGTGGTAGAGTGTATCCTTAGCAAAATGAAGCCCTTGATTAATTCCTTGGCCACACCTCACAAAGAAAACCAAACAATGCTCCGTACTAAGAAAAACTCTACTACATACATGGTATTTATCCTTAAATTTTTTATTTTTCCTACAGTGCTGGGAATTGAACCCAGGGCCTCATGCATGGTAGGCAAACTGTTGTTGAGCCTCTCTTTATGGTATTTAAAGCTAGATCATGGCTATATGTGTATATCTTTAGGTCTGCACACACATTTCTTGGATTTTATTGATTCGCATTTAAAATATAATGTTGAGGGCTGAGGATGTGGCTCAAGTGGTAGCGCGCTCGCCTGGCATGCGTGCGGCCCGGGTTCGATCCTCAGCACCACATACAAACAAAGATGTTGTGTCTGCCAAAAACTAAAAAAATAAATATTAAAATTCTCTCTCTCAAAAAAAATATAATGTTGACATACAGTCAAGCTCACACACATTTATAAAGCCAGGCCAACATCTCACTGGTTTGACTGGTAAAGATATAGCAAGGCTCTTAGAGGTTCAAACAGTTTATTACTTAGGTACTGCTATGGTTGGGGTGTTCGTCCCCTCCAAAACTAACGTTGAAACTTAATCCCTGAAGTCATGTGTTGTTGGGATGCAACCAGCATTAGATGAGGTCAATGAGGGTGATATTCCATGATTGCATTAGTGGCTCTGCATTAGTGGAGGAGACCTGAGCTGATACATGCTCGTTCCATCTCACCAAGAGATGCCCTGTGCTGCCTGGTACTGTGCCAAGTCCTCATTACCAAAAAGGACCTCATCCGATATGGACCTTCACCCCCAGACCTCCAGAACTGTGAGCTGAATAAACCTGTATTCTTATAAACTACCAGTCTGTGCTTTTCAGTTATAGCAATAGAAAATGGACCAAGACACATACACAACACAAAGAATAGGCCAAAGGTGCCAGTATCCTGGGTCCTTGTCCCAGACACTGAAGGAATGATACAAACCAGAGAGGTTGGGTGACTATGGCGCAAGTTATGGGATGTTGAGAAACATTGAAGGATGTAGTGAAGTACTCCCAGAGCCCGCAGCTGTGTCCTGAATGGAGGGCAGAAAGCCTCCTCCCTCACGAGACAGAGGCTAGTGGAAGGCTCCTGCTCATCTTCCTGGGGCTTGCAAGGCTCCGTGGTGTTCTGCCAGGAGTCAGCAAGCCTTTGCCTATAGGCGGATAGGTACAGATT